ATGCTTCTGCATTATTACGTCACGTCTGTAAACATAAAGAAGTTGTCCCGGCTACTAGGCTATCGCATGAGAGGATCCTGCAGGTCGTTAGGGTTAGCCTTTTCTCCGTTTATAGCCCTTTCTCACAGCAGCTGGAATAATTAAATGTATCATTTTGATGTTCAGGTCCTGAGAGATTGTGGTGCCCAGGAACCTGAATGACTCCACTGCAGTCACAGTGCTGTCCATAATGGTGAGTGGAGGGAGAGCAGGGGGGTTTCTCCTGAAGTCCACGGTCATCTCCACAGTTTTGAGCGTGTTGAGATCCAGGTTGTTGAGACTGCACCAGACAGCCAGTTCTTTAACCTCCTGACTGTAAGCAGACTTGTCACCGTCCTGAATGAGGACGATGAGTGTGGTGTCGTCTGCAAACTTCAGGAGCTTGACAGAGGGGTCTTTAGATGTGCAGTCGCTTGTGTAGAGAGAGAAGAGCAGTGGGGAGAGAACAGATCCCTGGGGGGCGCCAGTGCTGATCGTACGGGTGCTGGATGTGTATTTTCCCAGCCTCACTAGCTGCTGCCTGTCTGTCAGGAAGCTGTTGATCCACTGACAGACGGAGGTGGGCACGGAGAGCTGAGTTAGTTTGGGCAAGAGGAGGTTTGGGATGATAGTGTTAAAGGCCGAGCTGAAGTCCACGAACAGGATCCTCACATAAATCCCTGGTCTGTCTAGATGTTGCAGAACATAATGCAGTCCCATGTTGACTGCATCGTCCACAGACCTGTTTGCTCTGTAGGCAAACTGAAGAGGATCCAGCAAGGGTCCAGTGATGTCCTTCAGGTGGGCCAGCACCAGTTTTTCAAAAGACTTCATGACCACAGACGTTAGAGCCACAGGTCTGTAGTAATTTAGTCCTGTAATTTTGGATTTCTTTGGGATGGGGATGATGGTGAACCATGGTTTGTCGTTGTTGTAGGTTAAATGAGTCCTGGTAGGAATGCACATATCTTCACAGAAACTGATATAAGATGTTACAGATGTTAAAACCCATGTGAGATGTTATTTATAGATGTTTTAACAAGATGTTAAAACACATGTGAATGAAATTTATATTCCAGTTTTAAATGTGCATGTGATTACAGATAGCCTGGGATTACACAAATTTGTATTTTAAAGAAAACCAGTTCAAAGGAAGAATAATTTGCTTTTTGGGTTAAAATAATTTCTTAATATGAAATTCGAGTGGTATGACAATTAGAGATTAGTCTGTACAGAAATTGAAATCTACATGTAACGCACACAATATTCACATAGTCACGCAATGCTGATGTTGTTAACATTAACAATTTGAGGACAAAGTATAACAATAATAATAATTTGCACGGTTTGATGTGATATGAGCTAATTTATCATTAGATTTAATCACCATTGGTAGTAGGGGTGTGAATCGGCACTTGTTTCACGATTCAATTCGATTACGATTATCATGTTAACAATTCAATTCGATATCACAATGCATCACGATTATATCAAATTTATTTTGTGAATTTTTATTAAATTATATAAGCAGGCTACTTTTTAAAGTAATTACGTTAAATAGTTAATTAATATATTAATAATTAATTAATTAATTGATTATTGTTAAGAATTTTAAAAAGTCAATATAGCTTTCAAACATACAAGCAAATATAAAGTAATAAAGGGGGGGAAAGATAAGATAAGATGTGTGTGTAGATTCCTCAGCATTATTGCTGTTTGATTATTACTGATGAGTTCATAAACAGTGGCAGCTTTAACAGGCTGCATTCACACTAATGCACAGATCTGTTTTCACATATCAGATGTTTTGTCCTGTTCTGAAAACATAGCTGACTGTTTACACATTAATTTCGAATCATAAAAGTATTCGGAGATGCAAGTGCATTTAAACGCAGCCGCGAGCTTCAGGACAAACAAACACAAAGTGCACGCGAAAGTCTCTCAGTACGTGAGTTTCGTGCATCTAATACATACTGCATTCCAAACGGCAGAAATTAAAGCATATCCAAAGTAAAAGACTAAAATAACAGCAAGTGGAAGCACAAGCCATACGCACGTGTCTCACAGCACATATTCTGTGCAATGAAGCCCGCCCCGATTCTCTCGCGCACACATGTGCCATATGCGGGAAAAAGCCAATCTCAGATTTAAAAATAGAGAGTGCATTTTTAATACTCGTGTGACAAGCGTGTATGCGAATGACGTCAGTAGGCTATAATCGATTATGGTCTATTATTGCATCGATGCAGAATCGTTCACGTCCGCATCGCGATGCAACAATTAATTTCGACACCCCTAATTAGTAGTGTGATTTATTGTAATGCTTTTTCCTCAGTTGGTCAGAACAAACGTGGCAGACTTGTTACTTGTTCAGATGACAATATCCGGTGAAAATTCTTATTTGGGTCATATATTCCAAGACGCAGAATCTGTGATTCTGAAGTACAGTAAATATCCACACCGGTGCGGTGACTGACTGCCAGACATTCTCCTTAAAACATTAGATTCATCCGCGCTGGACCTGTGCCACTGCACAACCCACATAATGATGATAATTCCACAAATAACTGCAATTGCAGGTTTCAAACAGAGATGGCGACAAAGAGGTAAAACTTATGGACTGCAGCTTTAAGTACTTGTAATTAAATTAAATTAAATTTTTAAATACTCATAGTCAGACTGCTGTTACTTTTTTATTGATTACATGCAGTGTTGGGAAGGTTACTTTGGAAATGTAATAGGTTACAGATTACAAGTTACCCTATTTAAAATGTAATAGTAGTGTAACTTTTTTAATTACTTTATTAAAGTTATGTAACTGGTTACTTTTGATTACTTTTCTAAATTTCTAATTAATGTTTTCAACTGTAACTGATTACTTTTCTAAATTTCTAATGAATGTTTTCAACTGATAATCATTTTGAAAGATGTAAAGCAGGCAGTGTTAACATTACAGTAGAACTCAACACTGATTACTGTCAGACTTTCACAATCCGTCATCACTTTTCAGATTCAGAATTTCAGAATTCAGATTATAATAATTGAACACATCCACCACAAAATCAGACTTTAGTACCGCCTTTTACTTTGAGATTGATCTGAAGTTCAATGTAGATTTAAAATCATAAGAAATAGTTTACTGATACTGTTTTTAAAACCAAATCTTCGCATAACTACAGGAAACACTGCATCTAACAATGCTTCAGAAAAAAAAGTTAATTTAAAAAAATAAATAAAAGCATATACATCAACCCAAATACGGTTATCTAATAAGCATGTGTCCTATTCTTAGTACTAAACTCCTGAAACATTGGTGTCTCTTTGTATATGATATGATGATAGTTTTCTCAAAATAAATTGTAAAACGCTCATGAAGTGACTCAGAGCAGTTCTAGAGATTGTTTATGTGTTCATGAACTCATATATATATATATATATATTGAGGCGGCACTGAAAACACTGCAAGCGATACACATGCACGCTTCAGTATGTGTAGTAAATGAAACCGTGCGTCTGTGCCATTAATTTCCACAACGGGCGGACTGGGAAAAAATTTCAGGCCAGGAAATCTCACACTCATCCTGTCAGGGATTTATCACAGTCACTTCAGTCACCATCCAGGATAATTACCCTATTCCAGTCATCCACTTACCCAGTCTATAAACCATCCTGTTTTGCACTTACCTGTTGTGTCTGGCCTTGCTTTGTGACACATCCAGGCCATCCCATACACCCAAACTAATTCTGAAACATGGACAACCCTATTTTTTGTATGGCCATCACATAAAAAGGCTTAAATCCTTAGGCTAGAGACATTCCAAGAAGTTCTCTCCTGAACTGCACCTTCACTTCCATTTTACTTTTCAGTCTCTTTATTTTGCCCTGAAATCTATCTCTCTCATGATCTTAATACTCAAGATTTAACAAAACTATACTTTCTAAATTGCCTACATGACATGTCAAAATTAGCACAATAATAACTACATCATTACAATATCTTTATAGAAAAATTCTAATACTGAACATGAGTCATATTTTTATATAGTAAAAGTACAGTGACTATGTTTTTTGGCAAATGGATTACCATTTGTGTTTATTTTTTACTACAAATTCCATGGTTAAACTATGGTTAGTGTGGCAAAAAACATGGTTAATTTGTGGTTAAGCCTACCATGGTTTAAAAATAGTAACCATTGTCTATTAGGCTATAGTATTATCATTATAGTAACCATTATAGTAAAATCATTGTTAATTTCGTAAGGGTTGTGTTGTTGTCTGCCGTAGCTCCCCCTAAATCTATTATAAAACGATAAGATTATTTGTCTGCTAAATTACTACTGTAACTTTACAATGTATAATAATGTTGTCCTTTAGTATACAGTAGGCTATTTTGAGTGATGACTTATGAGCAATGGGCTGCTACTGCTTAACTAAGTAAACAAAGACAAAACTACAATAGAATATTTACAGATGAAACTGACCTGCACTTGAGATCCTGAACAGTAGTTCTGCTTCTCTGCTCCACCTGTGCGCTTCCACAGTCCACTCCTCTCTCAAATCTCTCGCATTGATTACTCTGATGGAAACCGTTTGGCAAGGCATTGCCAGTCATGAGTCACGACTAACCGATTCATGATTTATTAGAGATTTATTATCGAATGGCGAACTCAGAAATAATCGCTTTAGTACATTTGGCAGGCAATTATATAATAATAGTAATAATATTTTTTAAAAAGCGGGTCAAATCGGCTTCCAGGCCACCGTTGTCCCGGTTCTCCCGATGGCCAGTCTGCGCCTGATTTCCAGAGACTCGCGGAACGTGCAGGATTCATATATAGTCTTTTTGCGGCTTAATATTCACAGACACTAGTCCATATCACGTTTTGATTCAAGTGTACTGACCTACTTTTGATCTATTCATCCAAAATGTGGCATATTCTGTGACATTCCGCATTATAGGAATTCTTTTTTTATGACTGGATATATAATAATAGTAATAATATTTTTTAAAAAGCGGGTCAAATCGGCTTCCAGGCCACCGTTGTCCCGGTTCTCCCGATGGCCAGTCTGCGCCTGATTTCCAGAGACTCGCGGAACGTGCAGGATTCATATATAGTCTTTTTGCGGCTTAATATTCACAGACACTAGTCCATATCACGTTTTGATTCAAGTGTACTGACCTACTTTTGATCTATTCATCCAAAATGTGGCATATTCTGTGACATTCCGCATTATAGGAATTCTGTTTTTATGACTGGATTCTACAAACCAGTCTGTGTTTTCCACATCGCGAAATCATAGGGCCGTATGTCTCATATTTTAGAGTAGTCAGTGCAATTTGGGAAAGAAATTAATTAAATCTGTATGTGGATGACTGTAAATATTCAAATGTAACCCCCTTTGTAATCATTAACATTTTCATATTTGTCATAAGTAACTGTAATTTAATTACACATTTTTTTTAGTAACTGCAACTGATTACAGTTACATTTATTTTGTAATTAAATTGTTACACCGTTACATGTAACTAGTTACTCCTCAACACTGATTACATGATTACACTTTTAGTAAGTGTTTTGTTTTGATTGGTGTTACTTTAAAAGGATTTATTTTAATTTGACATTTTTATGATTTAATTATTAGCTTTTCATAAAACTCACGAACCCCTGCAGTTCCTTCACTAACCCCAGTTTGGTAAACCTTGTGTCATGTAATGTTTAATGCACTTCATGTTGTTAATAACGAATGGAATATATTTTCTCACTCTTTGTATTTTTATATCAATACGGTGCAAGATTACCCTATTTAGATCAGTGTGATAAACGAGTTTGGTCAAAAGTAATCTAAAAGTAATCTAAAAGTAGTCTGATTATATAACCTAAAATGTGTAATGTAATGGATTACGTTACTAACTACAATTTTTGTCATGTAATTTGGAATCAGTAACAGACTACAATTTGTAAGGAATCTACCCAGCTCTGCTGATGGATGTTTTTGTTGAAAAGTGATTCTGTCCTACTAGATTAGATTGAAGCTGCCATGTGTTGCCACAAGGGGACAGAGAAGACCAGTGGAAATATTGTGCTGTTCCACAGAGCTTCAGCACTGTTACTGTTACAGCCAGTGCAGCATCTGCTCTTCTGCTTTGACCACTTCAATCCAGAATAATTGAAGTGTCAGATTGGTACCAAAGTACAGCACTAAACTGACACTTCACTTTCGTGTCTGATCACAGTATGTGTGTGTGTGTGTGTGTATGTGTGTGTGTGTGTGCGTCTCTTCTCTCGCAGTGCCGTTTAAGCTCCAGGAGGGAGAGGTGCGGATCATCTCAGTCTCTCAGTGTCAGTCTTACTTCGACATGAAGACCATCACATCACGCATGCTCTGTGCCGGATACGAGGCGGGAACCATTGACTCGTGCATGGTGAGTGTGTGTGTGTCAAGTCAAGTCAAGTCACCTTTATTTATATAGCGCTTTTAACAATAATTGTCAAAGCAGCTTTACAATATCAAATAGGAAAATAGTGTGTAATAATGCAAAATGACAATAGCAAACACTCAATTAAAGGCAGTTCATCATTGAATTCAGTGATGTACGGTGACCTCGGGATAAGAGAGAAACAGACTAATATTAGCATAGATGCCATTCTTCTAACAATGTAGCAAGTACATCGGGTGTTATGGGAAGTGTTCCCGGCTCCGGATGACCTAATTAATGCAGCCTAACAATCCTTTAACAGATTTGAATATTATAAATGTGTTAGTGTGTTATGTGTAAGCCAGGTTAAAGAGATGGGTCTTTAATCTAGTTTTAAACTCTAACAAACAACATTTAGCAGTTGATGTTGCCAAGTGTAAATGTGTTCTGATTGACTGATGATCCGATCTGCTTGATCGGATCACGGTGATCGCATGTTAATGCCAAGTGTAAACACAGCCTTTAATTCAGTCTTAGACAGTGTTCTAGGTTATTATGTGCGGAGGTTTTAGGTCAGATAATTAACACCTGTTTTTTCAGAATTTAGCAGTAAGAAATTACTCGTCATCCAGTTTTTTATATCGACTATGCATTCCGTTAGTTTTGCAAATTGGTATGTTTCGCCGGGCCGCGAAGAAATATAGAGCTGAGTATCATCAGCATAACAGTGAAAGCTAACACCGTGTTTCCTGATGATATCTCCCAAAGGTAACATGTAAAGTGTGCAAAGTAACGGCCCTAGTACTGAGCCTTGAGGTACTCCCGAGTTGGAGTACTTGGACTCGGACTGCAATTGTGAATGAACTTGGACTTGGACGGACTCAGGTGGACTCGGACTTGCATATTTTGGACGCAGAAATTTTTCAGAGTACAGACAAATCCATGTCATGTGTAATATAAAATTTAAAAAAAAGTAACAACATTAAATTAATATAAAAATACATTAATAAACGTCTCCCATTTAAACTCAATTGATTAAAAACTAGGACTCGACAAGGTGGACTTGGACCCAACACTGAGGTACTCCATACTTCACTTGTGATTAATATGATACATCTTCATTCACTGCCACGAATTGATGGCGGTCAGATAAGTACGATTTGAA